ATTGCTTCTTGGAACAACCCATCTCGACCGTAACTCCGAATCAAGCTGTTAAAGGACTTGTCTTCGAGCTTAACCGTCCCGCCGGACTTCTTCTCGATCGAGAACAGGAAGTTTCGAGCCGCATTGAGGTTCCGATTGCGGCCGAGGATTTCAAACATCATGAAGTACGATTAATCATTGTGGGCGAAGCCCTCTTGGTGGATCCAGTTGAAAAAGTAAAGGACTTTGGATGGGGTTCTGATGAGCCGGGGAGTCTGGAGGACGGTGGTTTTAGATAGAGAAGGAGAGAGGGAAGAGAGAGAAGATTCGAGGTCAGCTGACCAGGGATTGTCGTTGATGAGACGTGCCATTTTTCGGGCTCTTTTGGTTTTGGTTGATGATCTGGGTTTGATATTGGGGTCCTTATCTTCGCCGCCATTGTCGTCGTTGGTGTCACCGTCATTGGTTTGTTCAGAAGAGAAGTGCCTCGAAGATGATGGAAGCTGAGATGGGTTGCGAGAGGTGCAACAGGAAATGGTTCGAAGAATCGAGTCCCGAAGACTGTGAATCTGTATTCTATAGATTTGGTGTGGTTTGGTGGCCATAAAATGGGATTATTCGTTTTTTGTATTTGCAGTTCAAAAAGTGGATCCGTGTGGGGGACTGATTGAGCATCACAAACGGAAAAACAACTTACTCTTCGTATTCTGAAAGCATGGTAGAAGCATAAACATACAGTCCAAACCATGATGTAACCATTTTTTGAATTACTATAGAAATTATTCAAATTTCGTTATGAAGCCTCAAGATAAAAAGACGACAATTTCTCAAGATACCATTCTTCCTGGAATGAAAAGACATCTGGATCCGATTATCTCAATATGAATTAAAAAAAATATTAATAATCTGATTTTTTTTTTTTTTTTTTTTTTGATAAGTATTAATAATCTGAATATATTATCTTAATAAATTGAATATGAATTATAAAAAATCGTCAAATTAAAATTATACATACATATATATATAATATATATTATTACATTGCAATATATATGGATGTTATATATATTAGTGGATGTTATATATATTAATTATAATATATATAAATAAATATATATATATATGTTAATTATTTATCAATATATTTATTTGATTACGTAGTTATATCATGCAGTATCCTATATATTAACTAAACTCCACTACATCTAACCTCATAATTATACATATATATATATATATATATACATGTTAGTCAATATGATTTTAATCAAAATTTAATTAGATTCAAATTCAAACTAAATAGGATATGACTTGAAACATTCTGATGTTCCATTATTGACCCAAGTTTGATAAACCATTAACTTAACAAATTGAATATAAATTTGATCGATCCTGTTAACATATATAAACATGACTTGCCGAATTGGATTAATAAATTACACAGCATTAATTAAAAATTACATAAAACAGTGTTAATTAAGTGTTATGAATGAGTTGGCTCGAAAACAAGCTCATTAATCATAATAATCAAATTGGATATAGATTAAAAAATTTCATTTAAACCAATTTATAAAACCCACTTAGAGTTAATTGGTTAGTACTAATTTGTTTCCAATGTTTTTGTGCCTTTTCTCCTCTTCAGAGGCATAACAACTCGTGGTGTTCCATTTTTGTTAGATCGAATTAGGACTTTATAGTATTTTAATTAGATAAAAAAAAAAAATTGGCTAAATTATTCATATCTTTTCATGAAATATTAAGGGATAGTTGAAGAATGACAATATTTTTAAAGTAATGCAGTCAAGAAAAGTATCATAAGATTTTTACATTTGGACAATTTTTTTAAAATTTGTGAAATCATTTAATACATTTTTCATGAAGAAATATCGAAGATATAATCAAAAAAAAAAAAAAAAATGAAAAGAAAAAATCAACCCTAAAAAAATCCCACAAGTGTTCTGCGTCCCCCAAAAGGATAACCCCATTTTCGAAACTCCAAGGCAAATAAAAAGAACATTTCATCTGAGATGATTTTTTCTTATTCACATGATCTAAATACTTCCAATAGTAGTTGTTTAACTCGACTTTAATGTTCTTCAAATCAAACCAAGTTTTGCTTCCATTAAATTATTTAATTGGTTTGATGATATTGATTGAACCAAACAAATTACACAATACGAAAATTTTGTAATTTGATCTTGGGTTTCTATGAATCTCCCCTCTTTTTCACCTTGTCTCTCCCGAATATATATATATATATATATATATATATATATATATATATATATATATATTGTATCACATAAAATCATCAAGGTCTTTGGTTTACTTGGATAAATATTAATATAATATATATGGGTAAAACGAGAATTGAACGGCGGGAGTTAAGTGGAATTACGAAAAAAAATAAAATAAAATAAGTTTTGCCCAAGATTTTTTCTTCATTTTTAAGTTTCCTAATCAGTGAAAGAGACACTATTTCCAAATCCTTCGTCTGAAAGGGGGCAACACCTTCTCATAGTACAAGTAGAACTCCATCTCTTCATATATAAAATCTCTCCCCCTCATTATTTTCTCAGGGTTCGATTGCTTCAAAAGAAAGCTCAAGAAAATTAAAGAAATTTTCTAAAGATTAAACATGGAAACCTTTGCCAGTACCAAGATTCCAAGCGGTTTTAAGTTTCACCCCACTGACGAGGAGTTAATTCACTATCTTTTGTGCAAGGCCAATGAAGCACCATTGCCATGCCAAGGTGTTAGTGAAGGATGTAATTGACCTTTATGGCAAAGAGCCGTGGGAACTTTTCGAAGGATCGGAAGAGAAAATTCTTTATTTCTTTACCAAGTTGAAGAAGAAGAACAACAATGGCTCGAGGATTAATCGTGCGAGGAGGATTGGTAAGTGGAAGGGCCAAGACAAGGCTAAAGATATAAAAGATTGTACTGGTAATGAAGAAGAAGGAGAAGAAACATTGATAGGAATGAGGAGAACTTTTACATATTATGTCGTCTGATCCTAAGAGGAGTGGATGGACCATGATTGAATAAAATCTTGGCGGCACTAATCTGGAAAAAGCAAAAATATGTACATATATATGTTTAGTTTTCCAAACACACACACGTACATAGTTCGTTGTTGATTTTCTTTTATCTATGTTTAGTTTTTCATACACTAATTTTTTTTATTTGATTTGATATGGTACGCAGGTCAAAGATTATATAATTTCTCGAATTAAACGACAAAAACAGAAAGAAGGTACAATGGAAGTGGCAACAAAAGTAATGCAACCAGCAGAGGTTTGCAATGCGATCATAGAAGCCATCAAACCCGAAGTATCAATAATGCAATACAACGTGATTGAAGCAGCAATTGAACCGAAAGTCATAATAATACAACCAAAAAACTGCAACTTGATCAAAGAAGAAATCGAACCCGAAGTAATGGTCATGCAACGAGAAGATTGCAACTTGATCACATATGGAATCAAACCGGAACCAATGATCTTGCAATCAGAAGACTGCATTAATTGGTTGAACGATTTTGCCAAACAACTCCTCCAGAATCAAGAAGAAATACCAGAGAATGCTTTCTTGATTTAGAATCAAATCTACAATAGTCTAGGAGTATGTTTGACACGATGTGCCCTTTGCTCTCTATTTCTTTAGGAAGCTCATCCTCTCCCAAAAAAAAAAAAAAAAATTTGAAAAGAATTTATTAGGAGGAATATCATGTGGCATTGTAGACTTTTTTCTTGATTTAGAATCTGAATTGCACCCTCCTTTTAATTGTGGTAGGGTTATACGTCTGGGTGAGTTTGTGGAACTTAAATTTAATGAAAATATAATTTGTTAGATTTGGTTTGATTAAAAATTGGACAATTAAATTTTATTTTTCCTCTAAATTTGGGAACTAATGTTGTCACGTGCTTTGAACAGGTATGAAAAGATGGAAACTTTTTTTATTTTTATTTATTTATTATTTTGACAAAAAAACACATTTACATGATAAAGACGAAAATTAACAGAAGCTATTTTTGTTTATTGAAGTGATCAAATTGATTATTAGACTGGACAATGCTTGACTAAGATTGAAATGACAAAAAAAAAAAAAAAAAAAAAAAAATTAAGTTTTCTCAGATGTAACCATTTTTTTAATTGCTATAGGAATTATTCAAATTTCGTTATAAAAATACTCAATCATGATTAAAAGATCGACAAGAATATTATTGGATATCATTTTTTCACAAGTCCTAATAGTTCCCTTGTGAGTAGTTAGTTATCTCACATATATAATTAATCTTCTTTCAAACATTAAAAAATGCATGGATGAGTATTACTCTTTATTATTATTTTGACCGCAGGTGAATGAGTTGGCTCAAATCTAACCTAATTATGATTTAGGGTGGTAGGTGTGAGCGCTCATAACAATCCCTTCCCTACTGTTACAGCACTGTGTTGTAACTGCAAAGAATCCCAACTAAGTATTTTAATCTTAGATGAGTACTCATCTATTTACTGGTGAAATATACTGAAATTCTTTAATTTCATATATGGAATTGTTGCAATAAATAAATAAGCAAATAAAAAAAATAAAAAACGGTGATAATCATTCTTTTGTCTCACTTTCCACTTTCAGGTTGACATGACCACTGTCCCAACAAGGGCACCCCTGGACAGATGGGTGTTGTAAATACTTCATCAGTAGTGGCTTTGAATCACAATGAAATGAATGATACTAGCTAGTTTGATGCAAACAGTAATCAAATTTGATGCATCAAGGAAATCAATAAATGATCTATATAAACTAGTATTAAATAAGTAATGGAGAAAGATAAAAACTTGTCTAATCCAATAGCAACATTAGCCTTTTCAATTATCTTTTGCCGAAGAGTACTTCATAAGAATCTTATATCTTTGTGTTAGTTATATCATGAAAGAAAGACAATGAAGAAAGGCAATTCTTCAATTATCCCCAAACTCTTTTCTGGAAATAAAAACTAATAACAAATGATAGGAAATGATTTTTATACACAAGGATTAAAAAAGCATAATATATGGACCAAGTAGAATATGTTTTTTGAATTGTAGCAACATGAGTCTCTTTCTAGTTGCCAGAGAAGACCTAATGAGCAGACACATCTTTTGGTTTCTTCAAGAAAACAGTACAGTGCTCCAATTATGCCCAAACTCTTTTCTTGGGGACAAGATCTGATGTTTTTATCTCATCCATTTTGTTGGCAACAATAAAATCGTTCATACTCAAACCTCCTGCAAAAATAAACACACTTTTGGAGTCATGTAAATAGATTGCAACTCTAACTTGGTTGCACAATGAAAAATTTTAATCGAAAACTTCTCGAAGCAAATATTAAAGGGCGGTATGGCCAAAAGAAGAGGTATCATATGGTTAAAAACTCTGGATCATCGAATAACAGTAATACCGGGAGTTGTTATATGTGACTGTGAGGTAAGACAATTTCAACTTACTGTTTTAATGCATAGACTGCTCTGTCAAACCAAGGGCAGCATCTCCTTTTGGATGCTTTTTCATTTCAACAAATAAACCCGCACCTGTACAAGTTGCAGCAATAAAGAATGAGCATGCCATCCATTTGACGCGGGCCGGCTAAATGGTATAGACAGTAGAAAATTGCTTGGAGAGGGAAGCACAGAGTATAACTTGCCGGCAGATTTGGAATCTTGTACTTCGATGGGGGTAAGGTCCATGCCTGAAATGTTGCGCCACCTCCAGAGTCAAGCATAAGCTACTAAGAAACCATGCAAGGGAATTGATATACAGTTACTGAACCAGTCCTCAACTTTTCTTCTGCCAAAAAAAAAAAAAAAAAAAACGAATGAGGATGCCATCCCAAAAAGATTATATATATACCTATATGGTATAGGTAGCCAGTAGAAAAGTGCCATTGCACTTTAAATATTGCTTGCGAGAGGGAAGCACAGAGCATAACTTGCCTGCAGATTTGGAATCTTGTACTTCGATGGGGGTAAGATCCATGACCCGAAATGTTTTTCCAACATAAGCTCTTATGAAACCATGCAAGGGCATTGATAAATATACAGTTACTGAACCAGTTTTTTTCTTTCTCATCTCTCTCAAATCGGAACAGGACCCGTTTCTCTCCCTCATCTTTGATCCTCAACTTTTCTTCTGCTAAAATAAATGGGTGAGCTTCTAATACTAGGTTGAGACTTGCTTTGCCACCACTAGCCAGTATGTTGGCATTGCTCGACCATTTCAGTGCACACACTTTTTGACGTTCACTTGAATAATGGAAGTCTCAATAATATCCTGATCAACTCTAAAAGAGAGCAGAAATTAAGCTGGCTAACTCCTCATAATTTCTAGTGTTAGACTAGAGGAAGGAGAGACTATATTTGAGTAAATACCATGATGGAATCTTAATGTTTAGATGGTGACTATTCCATGCAATAGCTCCGGCTCTGTCTGAGGCCATTTAAGCTCTCATTCTGCGAAACATATTAAATCTTTAAGATTCACACAACTGAAACCATCATTTACGGTTTCTCATGAACAAACTTTTTTAGAAAGAAGAAAAAAGATCGAAGAGGAAAAAGACAATAAAAGCTTGTGGCTGTATCTGTGATTTCTTTATTTAACCAATTTCTGCACCTCTGAGGTTTATAACAGTTTACCATAGATTTAATTATATATTTTCCAAAAAAAGGAAAGAGAATAACAATGGATGACAGTTACAGGTATTACGAGTGTTGAGATCTCATCGTTGTGGAGCTTGAATTTGGAGCAGGTCTGTTCAACTGCAACTGTTCCCCATCCTCTTAGCAACAAATTCTGCTTCCTTTGTTCTTCCTTTAACTTCAAGGGTGTGTCTCAAGTCTTCTAAACAGCTCAAAGGTGGTTGTATTCCTTTCTCTAACAGTTCATAATAAAGACTAAATGCTTCTTTAATTCTAGAGCCTTTACAAAGATCAGTCACAACTGTGCTGCATATATCAATATCAACCTTTTGATCTTTTTCCAAACTAAATAGCAACATTTGACGTGCCTCTAACAATTTTTTACCCTTGCAAAGGAAAACAATCAATTCTTCAATCTTCACCATATACCCATTCTCATAAAGAGACCCAACAATCTCAAAACCTTTATCCCATGAGCCACTTTTGAAAAGTAGCCTTACAGTATCAGTTGAGAGTTCAATGTTTTGCCTAATTTTTCTCTCCAGCATTAACATAACAAAGCTAGCAGCTACATGAGCACAACCCTTTTTGACGAGTTCTGTAAGCACAGAATGGAAAGTAGATGTTTTGGGAAGATGGGAGCTCTTCAACATCTTCTCTGTAGTTTGATGGGCAAGAGTGGGGTCACCCTTCTGCAATAGACCATCAATTAGGGATTCATAAGTCTGGACATCAGGCACAAAATCTCTCCTTAACATTAAGACCAACAGATCATAGCCAGCTTGAAATGTACCTTCCCTGCAATGTCCCATGATCAAGGTCTTGTAAGAGGGAGGATCCTGGATTCCTCTTTTCATCAGCTGCCTAAACACTACTTCAGCATTCTTGGTCTTCCCATTTTTACACAAATACTCAAACATTGGGTTATATGCTGCAACAAGAGGTGTGCAACCAACAGCATGCAACAAAATCTCCTTCTCTGCTAGCTTGTTAAACAACTCCTCAGCCCTTACAAAATCCCCTCTTTGGCACAAACTCCGAATCAAAACACTATAAGTAGCTGAATCCAGTTGGACTCGCAACTCTGCCATTTTCTCAAAAACTTTTAATGCTTCATCCAAATTTCCTGCTCTACAATGAGCATTCATCAACGTGTTGAAGGTACACGTGTCGGGAGCAAATTCTCCACCCCCTACAGTTCCCTCAAAAATCTCCTTTATCTTGTCAAGCTCTTGGGCTTCACAAAGCCCTTGAATAAGAGTGTTATAAGTAATTCTATTTGGCTTCAGCCCTCGATCAACCATCTCTTTAAAAACATCCAGAGCCTCAGTAATACCTTGTTTTGCACAATACCCTCTAATCAAAGTTGTGTAAGTAACAACATTAGGATTCAAATTCGAGCTCTTTTTAAGCATACCTCTCACCACATTCTGCGCGATTTTGACCTTCCCAGACCTACAAAGCCCATCAACAAGTGTATTATAAGTTATAACATCTGGTTCACATTTATAATTGGACATTTCTTTGAAAAATCGAAACCCTTCATCAACCATTGAGTTCATACAAAACCCCCTTATCAAAATGTTAAATGTGTACGTGTCCGGGGTAACACCATACGTAACAAGCATTTCATCATACACCTTGAGTGCCATAGTAGTTCGACCCCGTCGAAGCAAAATAGACAAGAGACTATTGAATGTGACAACAGAAGGCGAAATGCCAATCGACTTCATCTTCGTGAACACCTTGATTGATTCTTGGAACAACCCAGCTCGACCGTAACTCCGAATCAAACTGTTAAAGTACTTGTCTTCGAGCTTAACCGTCCCGCCGGAATTCTTCTCGATCGAGAACAGGAAGTTTCGAGCCGCATTGAGGTTCCGATTGCGGCCGAGGATTTCAATCATCATGAAGTACGATTGATCGTTGTGGGAGAAGCCCTTTTGGTGGATCCAGTTGAAGAAGTAAAGGGCTTTGGATGGGGTTCTGATGAGCTGGAGAGTTTGGAGGACGGTGGTTTTTGAGAGAGAAGGAGAGAGGGAAGAGAGAGAAGATTCGAGGTCAGCTGACCAGGGATTGTCGTTGATGAGACGAGCCATTTTTCGGGCTCTTTTGGTTTTGGTTGATGATCTGGGTTTGATATTGGGGTCCTTATCTTTGCCGCCATTGTCGTCGTGGGTGTCACCGTCATTGGTTTGTTCAGAAGAGAAGTGCCTCGAAGATGAAGGAAGCTGAGATGGGTCGCGAGAGGTGCAACAGGAGATGGGTTGCGAGAATCGAGTCCCGAAGACTGTGAATCTGTAGCTTTGGTGTGGTTTGGCAAAGGAGGCCATAAAATGCGATTATTCGTTGTTTCTATTTGCAGTTCAAGAAGTGGATCAATGTGGGGTACTGATTGAGCATACGGAAAAACAGCTTGTTCTTCATATTCTGAAAGCATTGAAAACAAAAATTTACTAATCCGAATTCAATAACCTTTTACCTAATACGGAGTAAATTGAATATGAATGATAGGTAAACTTGTAATTAAAATTATACATATATACAGTATATTATTACATTATAATATATATTAATATATATGGATGTTATATATATATATATATATATATATATATATATATGAATTATTTATTAATATGTTAATTTCATTAAGTAATTATGTTATGACTATCCTATGTATTAAATAGACTCCATTCCATCTAACCTAATAATTATGCATGTACATACCTGTTAGTGAATATAAATCAAAATTTAATTCGATCCGGATCCGAATCAGAAATAAATAAAATATGAATTGAAACATTCAATTCGATAACATGTTGACAACCTGAATTTGATAATTTATTAATTTAACAAATCATATATGAATTTGATGGATTCCGTTGACAAATATACGAATAACTTGCATAATTGGATAAATAAATTATACAGTATTCAGAATTGATTGAAACAGTGTTAATTATTATTATTATTATTATTATTTATCCCATGTTATGAATGAATTGGCTCAAAAGCAAACTGATTAATAATAATAATAATAATAATAATCAAATTGGATATAGATTAAAAAAATTCATTTAATCCCACTTAGAGTTAATTGGTAAGTTTCCTAATCCGTGAAGCTTCAAAGTGGGATTAAATAAAATAAAATAAAACTTGTACATTAAGTGTAAATTTGTAAGTTTCCTAATCGGTGAAGTTTTTTTCATGCTTGCCCAAGTTTCCAAATCTGATCCCGCGTCTTATAGTTGGCAACACATTAGTCATAGTCCAAGTACAACTCCATCTTTTAACATATATATATATGTATAATCTCTCCTGACCCCTCATTATTTTCTCATCTTTCTTTTGTTTCCAAAGAAAACTCAAAAAAATTCAAGAAATTTCTTAAAAGGTTAAACATGGAAGCCTCTCCCGTTACCAAGATTCCATGCGGTTATAAGTTTCAGCCCACTGACGAAGAATTGATTCACTATCTTTTGTGCAAGGCTAATGAAGTATCATTGCCATGTCAGGGTGTTGTGAATGACGTATTTGACTTTTACAGCAAAGAACCGACGGAGCTTTTTCAGGGATCGAAAGAGAAGATTCTTTATTTCTTCACTAAGTTGAAGAAGAAGCACGAAAAGGGCTCAAGGATTAATCGTGTGACGAGGATTGGTAATTGGAAGGGCCAAGACAAGCCTAAAGATATAAAAAATGGTAGTACTGGTAATGAAGAAGAAGGAAAAGAAAAAGTGATAGGAATGAAGAGAAATTTTACATATAATGTCAAGTCTGATCCTAAGAGGAGTGGATGGAGCATGACTGAATACAATCTTAGCGGCACCAATCTGGAAAGAGCAAAAGTACGTACATATATATATGTTTAGTTTTCCAAATGCACACATACATAGTTGTTGATTTTTTTTATTATTATTTATTATTTTTTATACTATGTTTAGTTTTTCAAACTCTAATTTTTTTTATTTGATTTGGTATGGTATTCAGGTAAAAGATTATGTAATTTCCCGAATTAAACGACAAAAACAGAAAGAAGAAGAAGGTGCAATGGAAGTGACACTAATAGTAATGTGACCAACAGAGACCTGCAACGCGGTCATAGAAGCCGTCAAACCCGAAGTATCAGTAATGCAATATAACATAATCAAAGCAACAATTGAACCCGAAGTAATAATAGAAGCAGAAAACCGCAACTTGATCAAAGAAGAAATTGAACCCAAAGTAACGGTCATGCAACGAGAAGATTGCAACTTGATCACAGAAGAAATCGAACCGGAACCAATTCTCTTGCAACCAGAAGACTGTAACGATTGGTTGAACGATTTTGCCAAACAACTCATCCAGAATCAAGAAGAAATACGAGAGAGCATTGAAACAGTGTTGCTGCCAAATATTTTTTATGGTGACAGCGGAGCCTTCTTGATTTAGGATCAAATTTACATTAGTGTAGGAGTATGTTGCCACTTGCCCTCCATTTCTTTAGGAAACCCATTGCTCTCCAAAAAGAAAAAAAAAAAAAAAAAAATGAAAAGAATTTATTAAGATGAATATCATGTGGTATTGTAGACTTTTTTCTTGATTCAGAATCTGAATTGCACCCTCCTTTTAATTGTGGTAGGGTTATACGTCTGAGTGAGTTTGTGGAACTTAAATTTAATGAAAATATAATTTGTTTGGCCTGATTTGGTGTGATTTAGCGGTGCTAGTGGTTGTTTCCATCCATTAATTGGTTTTTTTTCCTCTAAATACCTCTAAATATGGGAAGTAATGTCGTCACCGTGCTCTGAACAGCTATGAAAAGATTGGAAACTTTTTTATTATTATTATTTTTTCTTGACAAGAGACTGAAATGACAAAAAAAAAAAAAATATAAGATTCAAGTTTTCTCAGATAATGATGTATCATTTTTTAAATTGCTATAGGAATTATTCAAATTTCGTTATAAAAATACTCAATAATAGTCCCCTAGTGAGTCGTTCGGGACTGTTGCAACGAATATAATTAATCTTGTTTCGTACATTAAAAAATGCATGGATGAGTCGGCTAAAATCTAACCTAATTATGATGCAAACAGTAATCAAATAGTCATCTGTACAACATCAAGAAATCAATAAATGATGTATATAAACTAGTATTAAATAAGTAATGGAGAAAGATAAAAACTTGTGTAATTCAATAGCAACATTAACCTTTTCAATTATCTTTTGCTAAAGAGTACTTCAGAAGAATCATATTGATCTTTGTGTTAGTTACATCATCCCCAAACTCTTTTCTGGTAATAAAAACAAATGACAAATGATAGGGAATGATTTCTATACACAAGGATTAAAAAAGCATAATATATGGACCAAGTAGAATATGTTTTTTTGAACTGTAGCAACATGAGTTTCTTTTTAGTTGTCAGAGAAGACCGAATGAGCAGACAGATCTTTTGGTTTCTTCAAGAAAACAGTACAGTGCTCCAATTATGCCCAAACCCTTTTCTTGGGGACAAGATCTGATGTTTTTATCTCGTCGATTTTTGCGGCAACGATAAAATCATTCATACTCAAACCTCCTGCAAAAATAAAAACACTTTTGCGGTCATGTAAATAGATTGCAACTAAGTTAGGTTGCACAATGAAAAATTTTAATCGAAAACTTCACAAAGCAATATTAAAGAGTGGTATGGCCAAAGGAAGTATAAAAAATGATTAAAAATTCTGGAACATCTAATAACAGTAATACTTGTTTTAATGCATAGACTGCAATTTCTACTACTTGTTTTAATGCATAGACTGCTCTGTCAAACTTCAAGACATGGCCATATACAGGTTACACTAAGCTTTAAAAACTATAAGAACATGAAAAACAGTGGAAACTTGGTCATCTAACATTGTAGATTTACGGATAGGATACCGTTCCAACACATTGCTAGCTTTTAAGGAGGATGCATGATGGACTATTTGAAACCTCACAAACTCATCAATTAACTTGAAGTTCATAACATTCAACTCAAAATTTGTAATTCTACCACAAAAATTCATTATTGATCATGCCAGAAGACTCAGGACCAAAATATTTTCTTTGATAAAAACAAGATAAGGAAAGTTTTTCTCGGAAATAAAATGTAAATAGAACTGAAAAATAATCATTTACTTCTCATTTTCAAGTCGGAACTTGGAGAGAAGGCTTATGCAGACATATTAGATATATAATCTAGCAGGAGCTTACCTATATAGAGAGATTATTTCATTCTTTCTTTTTTATTTTTGTTTTATATCTTCTTTTCCTTAGAGGGGTAGTAGTGGTTTGAGAAGTCACTATTCTGAAATTTGAGTCTGACTTGATCAATTTATAATAGGCACTAAGCATATTCATTCCCAAAATCCACTTCTGATATAAAAGAACCAGTGAAGAAAGAAACAATCAACAAAAAATTTCCAGAAATTTTGCTAACCGATAGAAGCAGTCCATAGCTCAGCTCTAACTTGATTAGGCTGCTCCAGGTGAAGATTTGGTAAGTGCCCTGCAGCCTCCACAACTGTGTAAATCCTGTTGATGAGTTCAACCCCACATTTGAAATCTCTCAATCTCCACAAACATTGTAGTTTAAGTCCCCCTTCTTCATCTAACAATCTCCAGCCAACAACCTACAGTGAAAATTTAAAAGTAAGAGGAACAGCGCACACAAATAGAAAATTTCCCATCTCAAAACTATATGAGGACTCTAGATAGGCACTCAAAAAGTTCAGAAACAAGGGGGGAATTCAATTCGGAAATTTGCTTCATTTGATTGATTCCATAAAATTGTTTTTAGCGCAATTCACCTTGTGAACACCTTCATACTCTAATATATGACAGTGCAAGAGTGTTGATGCTACAAAAGTTGAGATGTGATGTGAATTTTTTCTTTCTTCCCACGTATACAATCCATATAACTCAAAAGTCTATCAAACAGCTCTCTGTAACAAACAATAAAAAATTAAAAAAAGAGCACCAATTTCGCCATTTCATGTGCTTCTGATGTGAAATTTTAGAACACAGAAATAAATATGAAACAAGTGTGATAATCAGTCACCAATGTTGCTAATAGCTAGCTGTTGCAAAAATTAACAGAAAGATGGAACAAGAACACAAGCATAAACACACATATATACGAGGTTCTCCCAAAACCTGGGCTAAGTCCACAGAGTTGCAGGAATTTCATTACGATGAAAAATGACACACAACTACAGAAAGTTTACAGTGAATAAGTGAGAAAATGCAACAATATGAATATATAGCCGCGAAGCTGGGGTAAGATGTACAATATTATCACCTCCACATTTCCTATCACTAGCATCGCAGGAAGATAAAACCTCTACAAGACTAAAACAGATAACCAAGACTTTATGATAAATGGAACAACAAAGTTAATGAATCCATCGAATTAAAACTGCATATCTTTTGAGATAAGTCTCTAAACCTTAAGTATATGTAGCATTCTGAAACTATAATAAAAGGGTCTCTTTATTTTTTGCTCTTCATAACTTCAGAGACGAAATTTTGATAAAGAGAACCAAAAATTCTAGCAGTATCAGAGAAACTGAAACTGAGTCCTCAAATATGCCACTTGGGCATCTTCTTAGTGATTCGAAAACAAAAACACAACTTCAACTTCTCACAATTCAAATCCAACCGAAATAAATAAATGAAATTCCACAAATTTAGCCATTTACAATTTCAGAGACAAATTTGGAAACGGAGAATAAAAAATTGATGGGTTTTACATAAATTACAAAAATCACCTTCTTTAACAGCTTCTGAGCATTGTCACGTGACAGTGGAGGCTGCAATGGAGATACAGGAGTGCAGTCTTGTTGGGCAAGAGAGAGAAAAGAGGTATTGGGGATTAGAATTCGATGCTCGGTGTCACCATTTCCTAACACTTTCTCTCCAAACCTACTCTCTATCTCTGCCGGAAATGGGTCTCTGGCCCCAAAATCGCCCAAGAGGTCACCGCCCGTAGCGCGAGTTTTGAGCAAGGTTCGGGTCTGGGTAAGGATTGAGAGTTGTGGAAGGTGATGAGTGAGAAACAGAGTGCTCTGGGCTGGAGGTAGAGAGGGAGAAGAGAGAGGAAGGGGAGTCGAGAAGCATAGATTGACAGAAGCGGCCATGGGAGAGAGACACACAGAGAGAGAGAGAGAGAGAGAGAGAGATAAAAGGTGTAGTAGTGATCCTTATCCACTGATTGGTGGGTCGGAAATTCCAAGTCGAACGGGTCAGTCTGCGACAAACCGGCCGGTTCAGGAAACAACCACTATCACCGCTAAATCACAATGCGTGGGACCGGTTCACGAAACAACCACTAGTCACCGCTAGTCACAATGTGTGGGACCCAAATATGTTTGTTTTGCGCCCTTGTCCTACATGTCAAATTGCACGCCCTCAGAAATTGTCCAATGCTAGTACATTTTTAGTGAAAGCTGAGAAAAAATAATAATAATAACTAAAAAAAAAACTGAAATAGAAGACATATATGATCAATTTTATATTCATTCTCCACTTTTTAAAAGAAAAATGAAAACCATTTTGTGTTTATATGTCTAAGAGTTGTGTTATTTGATACTCGTATTATTACGCATATCACTCAAATCTAATTCTCTTTGAATGCATTGTTAAAAAAAAAACTCATTCATTTTATTTTTGTCCAAAAAATCTTTGTAGAATTGTCACACTCACATATATATAATTGAGCACAATTATTACACAATGAAATTGAACAATTGTTACAGTTGAGATATATCCAAAGTGGGTAAGAATGCTATTGCTTTGACAATTGCATAATCTCATTCAGATAATTGTTAAAGTCATATCTGTCTAGAATAATATTTCTAGGACAATAATAACACAACAAATTCAATATAAATGATTATATTACAATTTTATTTTATTTTTTTGAGGCATGAATGCGTGGGACCCTATCTAATCTGAAAATAATAAAAGATGCCTTCTAGAGGAAAGACGCAACGGTAAGTTTATTCCTCTGTTCCTATAAACCGCCTTCAATACACTGATCCAACACAAAATCTTCCTCTCTTTTTTTTCCCCTCTCAATTCCAGACAATAGAGACATTTTTATTTGGAAGTTCTGCTTCAATGGCTAACAATTATTTGGTAGAAGTGTCACCAAACCCATCACCATCTACTCCTCTGCCTTCTATTCCCCTCCATTTGTCTGGTTTTTTGAGCGGTGACACCATTCAAGTTCAAGGAGACACCGAGAACTTACAATTCTCTGTGCAATTTAGTATCAACCATAAGCATAATTCCGAGAATCAATTTCACTGTCCCGGTACCGATACGCCCCAAAATCTAACTCGTCTCAATTCTGGTTCTTCATCATACATGACTCCCATTACAACCCATGAAGAGGAAGATCAAAATGCGCATAGGGACTCGTCTTACCATGCAACTGATTCGATCCCAACTGTTGAAGAATGTCGTGCAACGAAGAAGGGAACCATTGTCACGAGACTGAGAAGCGGGGTCTTATCCCCGGTGACATATTGTCCTCGGAAATCAAGTGTAGAAGATGGGAATTTACAATTATGGAGGAAAATATCGTCGAGGAAGAAGGGAAAGGGGAAAGGGAATGATGTTTTGGATAGGGTGCTCAGACGACACAGTCTTCCGGTAAGGCCATGCAGTTCTTATGCTTTCTTTGTGATTACCACTTGGGGTGCGGCCAAGTCTTCTTCATTTGGAGGGACAAGCAAGAAATTGGGTGAGATGTGGTGCAAACTTCCCCCAGAGGAGAAGAAGGTGAATATTACTGTGTGTGTGTTGTGTGTGTGATTTTTAAGAACTCTGATCTTATGGTTTAACTGTTATTGTTCATGTAATTATGTGTGTTAGGTATTTGAGGACATGGCATTGCAAGATAATGTAAGGTACAGGAGACAATGCATGCTGTTGAGGTCCAAAGATGGGGATGGAGAAGTGTTAGACTGGAAAAAAGTAAAAAATGTGGAGTAGCATTGAGGTAGGTGCCTAAAGGGATCCACAGAAAATTCAGTAAGTTTGAACTCTAAACATATTTATATATACATGTTTCTTGTATGCAGAATTGTATTATGGTCTATAGCAGAACCACAGGATATATATGCAATTGCATTATGATAATTTATGTGGATGAGAAATACCAATATATTTTATGTATGTTGAACATCAGTAGTAGCAATCAGTATCAGCAATTGTAAAAACCATTGTGAGCAAGAAGCTTAAAAAAAGGCTAACTTAGTGAACCAGGCTCCAGCTATTGCGGGGTCAGAGCAGGGTTAGATTTACACAGCTGTACATCCACGTGTAAAACCCTTGTGTGCAAGAAGCTAACAAGAGAAATAATAACATAGGATTTTCACCAATTTTCCATAATACCATGCAAATGAGAGTGTTAACTATAGCAACCCTTCAAATGATCAAATACCATTATTAATTGCAACACAATATCAGTCTGAATTGAAGCCATGTATAGTGACTTGCAGGTAGACAGCAGAACAATGAACTTCATATTGATGATAGAAATGGTTTCTCTCAATAACTGTACAAATTTAATTTATGTTCCCAAAACAGAATACAAGCCAAAGGCTGGAGATGTGCTTTAAATGTTATAGGGAAAAAGGCTTCGTATACACATCAAATTGTTCATTAGCGGTCAACTGAGGTTCCTGCAACAGTAAGAAAGGCAAATATTAAATTTTTGCCTTACAATAATGAAAGTGTGCTGTCATGTTTGATTGAAATATTTAAAACTATTGCCTGAGGAAAAAACAGAAGTAATACATGGTGGTCACTCATTTTTTTATTTATATCCAAGGATGCTTGTTCAGATTATCTCATACAAATTTATGCTGGGATCTATGGGCTTTGTATGAGGTATATAAATGATCTATGAAGTTTATATAATGTGCAGTGAGCAGGAGAACCCTTAAGCCCTTTGCAGAAAATGTAGCAACATTGTTGAGTATGTATAGTAGAAAAAGTAGAGTGCCACAAGATTGGTAAATTTTAGTCTTTTCTCTAAAATGCCATCAAAAATTACTTATTCACTTACGGATATCAAGTTTCCAACTGATTTATCATTACTAATTTTTGTCTGGGAAATGCATCCAGTTGCATCTGTAGCCAGGTTACCACTTGAAGAAGCTTTGGTAGAAGTCGCTGACTCCACAGCATGCACACAAAACTTTAGTTGAAAGACACCAATACGACTTTTCTAAAAAGATTTGGCTATTCTCTTTTATCCATGGAGTAACTAACAGTCCAACACTTCCATTTCTCCAGATAAAGTCCTTAAAGTAGAAAAGTGAAGGTACAAACCACAAACTGATCCAGCTACCAGAAAGAGCTGGATAACCCTTTAGTAATGTAGTTGGAAATTCTCTCAAGAGTCAAGTTTATGCTTGTTGGTTTTCCCTCACTCCCGAACCCCATTCTGTGAGGTTTTGCAAGTAATCAGAGATTAAGTCTCAAAAGATCAGTAGAAACATATAGGAATCATATATTTGAGTGGAATTATTGGCTCTTAAATTTCGGAATGGGAAAATAAGTACCATCGCCAATCATTTTTGAATCTACTATGAACTTTGTAGACCATGGTTGATGTTCTTTGATTTTTATTACGGAGTAAATAAATTACTTTTAGATCTAATTTACTCGTGTCCACCCCATTTCACATATTTAGCATGTAGCAATAATTGTTTTCAGTGAACAGAAACAAGTTCACGTCAAATTTAAAACGTGATTCTATAATCTATATGAATGTAATTGAAATCAGTATTCAGTGTTGACCCCACCTCCGTAGGGTGCTGGGAGGAAAGATTGAACACAAGCCTAAGATTTTCATTTCTTTTGCTTAAAGTGGCTGTCCTCAGACTTAATTCATGCCTCTTCCTCTATCCAAATTTTGTACAATTATGTGTTAAAACAGTTGGTGGCTAAATAATAGATGCCACGGACTTAAATTACATGTTCATATCTACCAGGTTGCATTTGCAACTATCTTTCGATTTCTCGTGTTTACTATTGAGTTATGCATTTGTAGCACGACATCTATTATATGATAAAAGCGAAACTTTCAATAGCATGCTTGTGCAGAAGCATGAAGTGTACATATCTCTATCAATTGTTGTTTAAGAAAATTAATCTTCAATTTAGGTTGCAACTCTGCACAAATAATTCATTAGCTTTTGTTATGGAAATGTTCTATGTGGCAGCAAAAACAAACATACCTGTCTCATACCAACACCAAGACTCCCTCCAGTCAAAAGCATAGTCAGCAGAGATGTCACAACACCACCACCCCCAATATCGTTGTCAGTACTACGGATGGTAGACCTCATCGAACTTAGCATATTCCCATATGTAGTAGCCTGTCCGCGTTCAATTGCTTGGATGAAAGAATAAGTCATTGCGCCGGTAGAGGTGACCTTTGATAGAGCCTGTCTAGATAAAGCATTAGCTTGGGTTATTTATCTTTCATTGTTAGATGGATGAAAAATTCTTGAAATTTTAATTGATAATGAAAGAGGAAGATTTTAATAGATTAATGAGAACTTTACAGCTGTATCAGCAGAAGTTTGATCATCATCACAGCCACTGAATGAAATGGCCTCCCCACCACTTGTTCCTTTCCATGCACCTGATCGAGGGCGATGGTCCTCCCATACATATCGTCCACTCCTACATCCACAAAGAATACATACTTCACAATGCACATCAACTGTAGAACATTTAGTGAGTTAAAGAAAAGGGGAAATAAAAACCAAAGGCGATGAAGCCTAATGGTACTTCTTGCCTTTGAAAGGATATTTAGTTAATATCCAGAAAGGACTAACCTGTCCATTCTACAAAGGAATGGTAAATCTAATACAGTCCCGCTATGGCAAGCATCTATGATTGCATGAAGCTTGACTCCACGAGGAAGAGGCTTGACAATTGTCGCATTAACCTCGTCATCGACAATCATTCCCTGTGTTTCGAAATCCATGGGACAAAGTGTTTCATCATATCCATCTACCTCATCTCCAGTATAGTTCCTTTGTTGTGAACCATGGCCAGAAAAATGAAACACAAGGGAATCTCCAGGCTGACAACCTTGTACAAGCCAAAACATAGCCATTCTAAGGTTGTGTTTTGTGGGACGCCTATATGGATCAACTTCGTCCTCTGAAATATAGCTTTCATAGAAGAACTGAGATTAGAATTGGTTGACATGAACAGATCAACAGGCATAATACATTATAAACATCAAAAGGATTTGTAAGAAAAGTTCATGTTGTGAAGTGAAACCTGCTGCAATCATACAACTGCTGTTAGTAATAGTCATTCATTTTGGAAAAAAAGGAATAATTTTAATGAAACATATTATCTTAAAGACCTTTTCGGGGTTGAAAAATGCATAGGAAAAACCCGAGGGAGCCATTTTGAAACTGAGATATTTAGTCTGAAGTACTTTAGCTGCTTGTTGTTTTAGCATTATTTTATTTAAAATAATAGGGAGTTTTATAGGTCTTATTTAGTTGTAAATTTGAAACTATTGGAGAATTACAAAGAGATTTGTCATTATGGCCTATATAAAGGGGCTTTACATGAGTTATCTTAATAGTAATTGAATATTGAGTTCATCATGTATGCCTTTTGTGGTGAAGCTTCATATTCTATACAATGAAACTCAGACATGGTTTTATTAATATTCCAGATCATTCCAATTTCTTCTGAACCTCTCTTCCACATTATAGACTCGATTGTCGATCTATTCAATCTTCTTCTAATCAGTCTCCTGATTTGAAAAAGCATATAATTTTTTGTCAAAATTTAGTGCCAAACTAGTGAACTTGCAATCATTTTACAAACTCTGGTCGTGCAAGTCATTTCTGTTCCATTCTGTTCTGTTTTCTCTTTACCTTTTCCTTTTGACCTAACATTCAAATCTTACCTATCTCTCCTTCTTTTCTTTTTCTTTTAAGCGCATTTATCAGATGAACTCCAGGAGACAGCAGAAAGAGGAATAACAGACCAAAGGTGCTTATATACCAAAACTTTGTGACATAATAGATAATTAAGCTTAGAAAAAAGAAGAAGATAATTAGGCTTAAAAGATCTACTGTATTTATTAAGTCATAAACACAGAAACCAATGTGCATTTCTGAATTTATACCTCAAAGGTCACATGTAACCATTGCATCATTGAACAGCTAATTACAAAATACAGGACACAACATGACACCAGGACAAAATATTCAGGAAACTTAGATAAATGAGCAAAAAAGACAACAAATTGTGGAAAAATAATAAAATTGTGTTACAACCTCTATGATTCTAATATCCTAATCAGCGATCAGAGGGGTTGACCATCAAAATATGAAAATAATGATTCTGAAAATAACTGAAAAATGAATTTCTAAACAAACAAACAAAGATACATAACCTAAAGAATAATATCTCATGATCACGCATTTAAGCCAATAAATTTCTCAATTGTGGAAATAATTTAAGAACTATGTAGAACATAAAAAATGTCAGACAAGGCAAGATTAATATGGAAAATACAGATTCAAACTAAGAACTCGGTCACAACAAATTTAAAAAATCTAATGAGAGATAAAAATGTAACCATTCTTAAAGACCACATCATAGCAGATCCCAAACTAGCATTTGAAAGTCAACATATAAGCAGAAATTATATACATATATAAATATATATAGGCAGCTGAATTAAACATTGAAGAGAAAAAAGAAATTGAATTACCAGTAAGCATGAGAATGGAAGATTCAGGAAATTTGAACTTGTTGATCAATAAATACTTCATGCACTTGGCGTCGTTGATGCAACCTTTGAGCTCGTGCCGAGAGTTCCGGTACGATATCCCGCAGATCACAGCCCTCTTGCGGCCGTGGACCGACGGCGGTTGACCCGGGGGCGCGTGGTTGTACGGCGACGGAGCCGCCGCCGCCGGGGGGGGAGGGTAGTGGTGGTAGGCGGGGGGAGGAGGGTGGTGGTGGCCAGAGGCGGAGTAAGGCGGAGGTGGAACGACGCCGCGAGGGTCGGCGACGTTGGTGACGGCGTGGCATAGGGCGCATCGGATGGACCTGGCCCCCGGTGGGAGATGTAGCGGCGTCTTGCAATGTGAGCAGTTGATGAGCATCAACATTGTAGAGAGAGAAAGAGAGAGATTTTAGAGAGAGAAAGAGAGAAATATTATTGGAAAGCTTTGTAGGAAGACGGGAAGAAGGAAGGAGTCAGTCAATCTTTAGAATAATGGAGTTGGTGGGAACTCGAAGCTAGAGAGAGAAAGTAAGAGAGAGAGAGAGAGAAATAGCTTTCTCCGCCCGGGTATATAATATGTTGCAGTGGAGTACCACTAATTGGGCCCCAATCATTTAATGGGAGTAGTAATTGTCCGAATTGTTTTGAAATTTTGGTGATTCTTGTCTAAAATCTAACCAAAAATCCGTGTGCGCGCTCTATTTTATATATATATTTTTTCCAAATTTTAGTTTTCATTTTAGAATTTTTAAACAAATGATAATATGAAATTTTAAGACAAGAACGATAAAATGAGTACAACATAAAATTTAAAAAGGTTAAATTACTGTTAAAACATGGTTAATGTTTAGTTTTTGATTATGATAAAACTATTATTTCTTTGGAACAGGTCTTCAGTTCAAATTTCTAAGAATAATTTTGTGAGAATTGAAAAAGAGTTAAAAAAAAAAACTTTCTAAAAATCTGTTTGATTAATACTTTTTGAAAACTATTTATTGAAAAATCAGTTAAAATAAGATTGTTTTCAAACAAAGTTCTTTAAAAGCATTTTTCTCCCATTTTAAAAAAAATTAAACCAATCATGTCTTTTGCTACCTCCTCCTAGTCCTCCTCCTCCTTTTTTTTTTTTTTTTTTTTTTTTTTCTCTTTATTTTTTTATTTTTAATTTTTGTGTGAAAAGGGAGAACATGAACATTAAAAGAGTAATTAGATGCATTAACAAAAATAAGCCGTGTGAAAAGGGAGAACATGAACATTAAAAGAGTAATTAGATGCATTAACAAAAATAAGCCATCATATACTATATCAATTCCACAGAAAGACAAAAACAGGAAAGAAAAAGAACTTACTATTATATCACATAAAAAAAAACTAGTAAATATTTTAAATGGATTTAATAAGTAAAAAATTAATAACTTTTTATTCTTATTGAAAAAGTCTTCTACACACCTTTTTTTTTTTTTTTTTTTTAAAAAAAAAAAAAAAAAAAAACTGTCTCTCTTATACATTTATATATTACTAATGTTAAAGCTCGTTTGGGAGCACTTTAATTAATAAACTTCGCAAAAAAATAGAGTTGTTAAAAAATTACTGCTAGTAAAAAATATGTTATGTGTTCGGTGACACATTATAATACGTACTTTTCATAAATAAATTATTTTTTAATTTATTTGATAACAATTATTTGCTAATAACAATTTTATTAATGAGTGAGTGTAATTGTTTTTTAAAAAATAAAAAATAACAAAATTATATAATAAAAATGAGTTACCTAAAATATGTTTCACCGAACAAAGTTCCAAATTCTAACGTTATTTAAAAACTCTAACGAGTTTTACTAAAAGTGTTTTTAATAATTATTAAATACATTTAAATATAATTTTTATAATAAAAACATTTTTCAATAATAAAGAAGCAGTACCGAATTCAAAATTGTAACTAAATTATTCAAACCAGTCAAAATTGTAACACCAAACCTCTTCTTTTTCTTTTCTTTTTTTTTTTATTTTTTTTAATTTCTTTCTTGTACACGCTTGAGGGCTTGAAAACATTTGATTGGTTGTTATATTAGAGCCGTCATCCATTTTTGAAGCTTAAAAGGTCAACACGTGATCTACAGTTATGTGTAAATTGAAGCAGACACGTAGGCACCTCACCCAACTGGGATGGAGCTTCATCGGAGAGAGTACGTGGAACCTTCCACGAATGTCTAGAGAAAGTCTTGATGTTGACTTTCACACGTGTTTGACAGTTGTGACGAATGTTGACTTTCGTGCGAGCACTGTAACACGAATTGGTGGTTGCTAGGTTGGATTGCAATTTAACAAAATATACTATAAGATTAAGATAAATTGAGATTTGTGAGTGAAGATTCACACGAGACATGATTGATTCTTGAGTTTTTTGTCTTTTGAAATTCAAGCAACATGATTATTTATCAAAGCTAAAAAATAAATAAATAAGCCAGGACATGTGGATGAGAATATGAAATTAATGAATATGAAAACTTTTTACAATACTTTTTGACAAATAGTTCAAGTATAAAACTTTTCAATTTTATCAAAGATTCAAAGTTTGTTATGACACTAATTATATGTAAACTAAAAATTATTTAAAATTATAGTTGCGACGAATCTTGGCTTAAAATACCGTTTGGATGTAAAGTAAAAATCATTTTAAGATTGAAATCAATTGAGATTTGAGAGTGAAGATTCACACGAGACATAATAAATTCTTGAGTTTTTTGTCTTTTGAAATCAAACAACATGATTATTTATCAAAGCTTTAAAAAAAATTAAAAAAGCCAAGACAGGTGGATGAGAATATGAGATTAATGAATATAAAGCATCTTACCATGCTTTTTGACAAATATTTCAAGCATAAAACTTTTCAATTTTATCAAAGATTCAAAGTTTGTTATGACACCAATAGTTTTTAGATGTAAATTAAAAATTATAGTTGCGATGAATCTCGACTTAAAATACAATTTAGATGTAAACTAAAAACCATTTTCAAGATAAATTTCAAAGATTCTTTAGCAAACCAATCTCAACCTTCTTACTTTTTATAGATTAATATGTCAAATATTTCTAGGAGTTGTTATTATATATCACAACAAAGCCAAGGTTTTTTTTTTTTTTAATATATTATTTTTCACAAAGAATTGGACTCAAATCTAACATGTTAATATATTGCTATATTGTCCTTGGGCTTAGTTTGCACTTGGGTTATCTGTAATATGTTGTTAGCATTGGGCTAACTTGCCATTTCTAATGGCATGTATATGCGTCAAAATTTATATATAGACTAAAGGCCAAGTCCAAACACAGCTGATGTCTAAGTAGTGAGTACACCCCATTTGGAAAGCATGCATTACTCTTTCTCGATGCTCCTAAGTGGATCATCTTTCATGAGAAGAGTAGTATTTTTTTTTTTTTTGAATTGAAAGATGTATTAAATAATTTATTTTATTTTTCACAAATCTTAAAAAATTGTTCCAATTCAATGGTTAAATAAGAAAAGCTTACAACTCTTCCCCATGAAAAGGTTCTTAAGAGCATTACTCTGTTTTTTCAAATTCTAAAATTTTATTATTTCATATTGCTAATGAACTGAATCACAGCTAGATTGGATTCATGAAAGACTCGGTTCTCATATTTCTCAAATCAAAAGAAAACTCAATTAGGCAAGGTTATCGGGGGAGGAAGAGGGATGCATGTGGAGGAAAGATAAAACAGAAAGAATAAATTTCATTCATTTGATAGAGTTGATTAGAAAAGAAGTTTCTTCCTTTGTACCGAACCAAGTAGAAGTCTCGAACTTTTTTCACCTCTTCTCATGCTAAATCTACATAACCTTTTCCCACTTATAAAATTAAAATATGTTGTCTAGTAATAGATTGTTCAACAAAGCAAGACCATCCAACAATTTATTAAAACTAATATCCAAAAGAGATGTATAAAATTGAGATAGAAAAAGGGAGTGAGAGTTATGACTTAAATCACACAATTATTCTCAATGATAGCTGCTCACACGCTTTGAGCACACTCCTGCTCTTAAATTCCACTTAAATTTTGTCGCTTTCGCGAAGAGCAGAGCTACTGAAAGGCTAACCTGGGTTATAACCTAAGTCCAATTTATTTTTTTTATAAATATTATTGTACATCAGTTCACAACACGGTCCATATGCAATACTACTCTTCCTCTTATTTCGGTTCATATGCAATACTACTCTTTCTTTTAATTCAATCCACTTCACAATTCTAACTTCACCCCTATTTTTGCGGCTACTGCTCTTTCCGTGACTTAGAGTATGACCATCATTTTTTATATATAATAAGTAAATATTATATTAAATGTAAATATATATGTTGTCCAAGAGACCACTTGCATTTATAATGAATGTTCAATTTATAGTAGCGGGTGTGGGGAATAAAACGGGTGTTCTTGGCAGTTGGCGGGTGGGGAAAAAAAATGGGTCTTACAAAACAGGTTTTCTTGGCACTTGGCATAGGGTAAGGAACAAAATGGGCCTTCTTGATAGTTGGCACCTCATCATTTATTGTACTTGAAAGTGAATGTAACGTAAAATCCATAAAAAAAAAAAATGTAAAAAAAGAAAGGTGAATGTAACGATCCTAACGAAAGATATTACGTGCTAACGAAAGATATTACGTGGGTAGGAGGACATGACCAAAAATTATTGCATTGCAGTTAGTTAAATAAGATATTATGTAGGTTTTAATCATTCACAAATTTTTAGACAATTAAAAAATTAAATAAAAAAAATACATTTAGTTGCAGGGCATCCTCGATTTTTCCGCCATCTAATAATTTCTCATGTTATTGATATTATCCACCCAATTAACATAATTCATTCAATAAAATTCCCCGCTTGCATAAATGATTAATAAAAAAAACAACGGCTCACAAAAGATGTTCCTGTAACTATACATGTTTTTTTATTTATTTATTTTTTTTACCTTCAGAAAAAAAAAAAAAAAAAAAAAAAAAAAAAAAAAAAAACACGAATTTCGTCAACATTGACCCAAAATAGAGACTTTTAATTTTTCCTTAAAATATATGATTTTGGGGGACATGTTGCTGGCTGTAAATGTAATAATGCATTAGCCATTGAAACTTTTTATCCACTTTTAGGGATGCTTAGTAACTTCATGATCTATATCACAATCTAATTAGAACCGCAGGGTACAGGCGACGAATACTCCATATCACATGTTCACTTCTCTCATGTCTATAGCCTTTATATATATATACACACACACAAACACATGTATCTAACCCTCCACTAATCAACCATTAATTCATCAAATATATATTCAAAGAAGCAACACGCAAAACACAACACCACAGAACATGGCCGCGGCAAAAATTACACACATTGCTGTCCTCCTTGCACTTCTTTTCAGCATTATTTCCACCACCCGGTGTCGTCTCATCGGAGTCATTCATAATGATTCCGATGACATTGATAATGACTCGGATGACAATGACTCCGATGAGACGACAACAATCCCGGCCGATGAGGGCCAAGTGGACAGTTGGTTTAAGAGCAATGTGAAACCGTATACCGACCGGAAGGACAGTTTGGACCCTGCTCTTGTGGCGGCCGAGGCCAATTCCAAACTGCTTAAGGTGAGGAAAGATGGAGGTGGCGATTTCAGGACGGTGAGTGAAGCACTTAAGAGAATCCCAGATCACAACACTCAACGAGTCGTCGTGTTGATTGGGCCCGGAACATATACCGAGAAAATCAAGATTGATCGAGCCAAGCCATTTGTCACCTTGTACGGTGACCAAAAAAATATGCCAACTTTGATTTTTGGCGATACAGCAGCCCAGAAAGGAACTCTGGACAGTGCTTCATTGACAGTTGAAGCTGATTACTTCAATGCTGTTAATCTTATTATTGGGGTCTGTACTCTGTATATACATATTATAAAGCACTGTCATATGTTGTCTGCTTTTTCTTCCTTAATTAATTTACATGCATGCATGTATGTGTATCCAGAATTCGGCACCAAGGCCGGACGGCAAGAAAAAGGATGCACAGGCTGTGGCGTTGAGAATCTCCGGCGACAAGACGGCATTCTATAACTGCAAAGTCCTTGGATTTCAAGACACCCTTTGTGACGACAAAGGCAAACATTTCTTCAAGGACTGCTACATTGAAGGCACTGTTGATTTCATCTTTGGCAACGGCAAATCTCTATATTTGGTTGGTATTAAGTGACATTTGTTTTTTTTTTTTTTTTTGAAATTGCACATACATTGGTGTTCGCTTGCTATATTAATAGTGTAATGAATGTTTTGATGCAGAGCACAGAATTACATGTGATAGAAGGTGACGGTATGGCAATGATCACGGCACAAGCAAGACATACCGATTCAGAAGATGCCGGCTACTCATTTGTCCATTGCAAAGTTACTGGCGCAGGCAAACATGCTGCCTTAAGCAGAGCTTGGATGCCTTACTCCAAGGTAATATATGCCTACACTGAAATGAGTGATGCGGTCAAGCCCGAAGGATGGTCAAATAACTTCCACCCGGAAAATGAAAAGTGAGCCGACATCCTTGTTTAGATACGGAGTATTATATATGCATATGCAATTACTCTATCAATTATCATTTTTCAATTTTGGAATCAATTATTTCCGCAAAAGTTTCTAATTGTTGGATGTAGTAATGAGACCCACCTGATGAATGATTCAACGACTGAAAAACTTGGAGTTACAATCATTTGAAATATTGCAAACTTTCATAACTATATAGTACTTCTTATTTTAGTTTTATGAAAACTATTCTCAAAAATTTGTTTTCAAATATACTTTAGTTATCTTAAAAATAAGCTTTTTGTAATTGTGTTTTTGAAAAATCGAACCAAATAAATTTTTTTTTTTTATAATTTTTATTTTTCAAAAAATTGAACCAAAGCTCTCCATTGTCTTATGAGACTTAAACCCCGGCCACTGTCGTTGGTACCGGCTCCATTAACTCTTGCTTTCAAGTATACTGCTATATATTATATCTGTACTTTAGTTGGTACAAATTAATAGGTCATGATGGGCTTAATTGCAGGTCAGTTACTTATGGAGAATACAAGAATAAGGGTCCAGGGTCCAATGCTGGTGGCAGAGCTAAATTCTCGAAGCAGCTAAATGATGGAGATATTAAACCCTATATCACCCTTACCTTTATAGACGGTTCCAAGTGGCTGCTTCCTCCTTACAAATTTTAGAACCTATTGTAGGAATAGGAACATAACTTTGGCATTAAGCTGCAGGAAAGGCTTGTCTGAGAAATAATGTATGTATTATATATATATAGAGAGAGACACTCACTGAGAATATATATAGAGAGAGAGAGGGAGAAAAAAAGAGATGCGCGTATATATATATATATATATATATATAATATTTATAGCAAGATGTCCAGACATCTTGAAAGGCTTCATGGTCTTCTATTTTCAGCTGTATAAGAGAGTTATAGTTCCACATAGGATTAAAATTTAATGAGCAAATGTACCAAGGGCAACCTTTTCTTGAATAGAGGGTTTTGTTCATTTTGAATTCAAGCACATTGATATTAGAGTCATGATTTTCAAAATGCGACATTTAATTTGGGATGAAAGTATTAATATTATAGTGATATATATATTTCTAAGCTCTCTGGCTGGATGGTTAGTGACGGTGATATGAACAAGAGTTTTGACACGTGTCAATTGCAATAATCTACCATTTGTGATAGTTATCTCTTTAGATAAATACCAATAAAAAAAATATATTTAACTGATCAATTAATTTTAAGTGGGTTTCGACTAATTAAATAATTTAAACTGACCTATGAAAGTGGACATGAGCCGGTTAGAAAATCAAAATAAACTCTTGGCCATATTTTGTGGTGGGTAAAGTTACTCTTGTAGAGGCCCAACTGATCTTTAAATGTTTGATCAAAGAAGAATAATTTGACTTATTGTCCAATTAAACAGTCATAAAGTCATCATAAGATTGTGTACAAGAATATATATCTTTAAAAATCCTTATGCGAGTAGCAATTTCTATTTCTTCTTGCTTTCTACTATTGCAAAAGTGAGATCTTTTGTCTCAATCAAATCTCCATATTGTTTAATTAAAGTTTTATCAAATCTTTGATTTTTTATAAACAATTTGTTGAGGGAATTTTTTATTTTTATTTTAGATCTACTACAAATCAAGAAATGTTTGAAGCGGGACTTGTTTGATTCTATTTTTGTTCTTTTGACATGTTCTTTATTTTATTTTATTTATTATTATTATTTTATATTTTGATATGCATATATATAAGTTGGTTCATCACTTCATTTGTATTTTTCATCTTAAATTTTACGGGAAAGGATCATCTCTAAGGAAATTTCTCTTTTAGCATCTCCAAGTATTTAATAATACCGCTGTTATAGTGTCACATCACCAACCTACCATTCCATCATTAATTTACCAAAATTAATTAATTAACTAATAAATATGGTATCTTTTGAACTAAAATTTCAAAGAAAATAATTAGGGCGATTTTCCATCCCACTAACTTTTACTTTACTTTTTTGCAAATTCAATTTTAAGAGTAAAATGAACATTTTTTTTTTCATAGTTGTCTGATGCAGTGAAATTTATATTCTTATTCACAAATTCTAAAAAAAAGAATTATACCCTAATTTTCAGATTTTTACTCACACCCTTAATTAAATTATTTTCAACTGTAAATTCCGAAACTAATTCAATTGTAGCAAGGTAACTAATTGGATGAGAAAGAACCACGACATTTTTTAGTCCAAAAGATACCATATTTATTAACCCAGAAAAAACTGAAATCTTTGTTGCAGTGGATAAAACTTTGGAAGGTAGAAGAAATCCAGATGAGATGACCTTTGAGTTATCTGATGTACCAAGTTCTTAAAATACTTTCTCAACTCAAAAAAAATTGTGAAATATTCCTTAAATTGTAGCGAATAAAGATTGATGATAGTAGAGGAAAATCGAAAGAGGGAACCTTAATGGTAATTGGTATCTTGAAAATTTTAGTGCCAACAAGTAAAGTGCAAGTTTTAGGGCGATGATAAATTGCCGTAATTGTTATCTTGGAAATTTTAGCCCAAAAGATGCTATATTTATTAGTTAATTAATTAAATTTGGTAAATTAATGATGGAATGGTAAGTTGGTGATGTGGCGCTATAAAATACTTAGAGATGCTAGGAGATAAATTTCCTTAGAGAGGATCCGTTCCCAAATTTCACCCTCTACCATTTCTATCTATACCAAACAAATGAGAACATGCAATTTGGGTGTGTACATGAGAAAGAGATTAAGTTTAGAAATAAAGGATTTGCAATATATATATATATATATATATATTCTTAATTGGAACTCACACACATATGTTCTCCATAAAAGTTTGAACTCCTGACCTCTCTTTGGAAAGTAAGAGTTTGGTGCCACTAGGCCACTCACCTGTTGGCAAGATTTAGCTTTCTAAAACAATTCTCACAAATTTGAAAAAATAGAAAATAGTTTTTATAAATATAAATATTTTTATTTATAAAAAAGGTGTTTAGAAAACTACAACCAAATAAAATTCTATATAATTTTTAAACTACTACGTTTTAAGGACAACTTTGTAAAAACACACTGGAAATTAATTGAGTTGGACAACCGTGAATAGTTGACAGCTTTTCAAAAGATGATAAGTCTAGTTTTGGCCATGGTTGTCAAAATCCTGATTCCGAGTCATAGAATCGCACGATTCTACGATTTATAATCCAAAATCGATCCAAATCTTAACAAAATCGTTCAATTTGTAGAATTGGGGGTAGAATCGTAGAATCTCGTACGATTTTACCTGATTCTACAAATTTCATAATACTAACCCCAATTTAACCCTAACTTCATAGTACACGTCTAGATTGTTTGTTATTCAATCTTGATTCATGGAAGTCCTAAAGGTTTCATCACTCCGATTATACTATAGGTGAAAAGAAGAGGGGAATTCATTGGACAATCACAAAAATCAGATTAAAATCACATAAATAGGCGATTATAACATGATACCTTCGTCCTTGCTCGTTGGTAGAACTGGTCGCTGGACTTCGTCGGTTGCTTCTCGTCGGTCATTGCTTCATCAGTTGCTGTTCTCAGGTCGTTGGTCTTCGTCAGTTGCTGGTCTTCGTTAGTCGCAGCTCATTGATCGCTCCCCTCTAGTCGCCGCTCGCTGATGGCCGATCGTTGGCTGTTGCTCCCCTTTGCTTCGTCGATGCTCCTTTCTTCTTCGTCGTTCCCTTTTCGTTTGTGTTTGAGGCTTGTCTATGTTTGAGGTTTTTTTATTTTTTATTTATCTATATATTTTTTGCTCCCCTAATAATGAAATGCTTCATAATAGATATGTAAATGAAGTTTTTTATTTTTTATTTATCTATATAATTTTTTTTAGTGTAATTTTAAGTGTGCCCAATTTGGGGGGAGGGTAAAATAATTTGGGAGAAGTCTTTTTACTTATTCGTGGGATAAAAAATATCCCTTAAATGTCAAAATTTATCCCTTGATAGGCTATATTGAGGTTAGATATGTTTGGTGGTGTGTTTTGGCTTTATTTTTGTTATATTTTACAGATTTTATTGTTTAAGAAGTTAATTTTAATTATTTTTTCACAATTTAATAGAACCTTACAATTCGATTCTACGGAGCCAAAATGCACAACTAGCTGGAAGATAAGCCCCTCTGCCTCTGGTTCACAAATGATAAGTCTAGTTCTGGCCTACAAAGTTGTTGTAGCTTGGTACGATTTAACAAATAAAGATATAAGCTATGTTTGATACCTGCTAGCCTACTTCCACTTTCTTGATTGATTATACCATCCAATAACACTTAGGGCGGAATCAGGATTGCAAAATAGGACACTAAAGATAATAAGAAAATTTGAAGATGAACACAATAATTCTTATGATAAAGATATGTTATATATATATTAAAAAATAGACCAAAAAATGATGATGTTCTCATATATCAAATCAAGTTTTTCAAGGGATAAAAATTAAAAATCACATGTAAATATAGTATTCTTCTTCTTCTACGTATTCTCTTTATTGATTTTTTTTATCTATATTTGTTCAAAAAGATGAGAAATTGAACCCCCACTCAAGTCTCTACAATTTCCTTACTAGACCCCCAAACAGGCCAAATCCTACGAGGAAAAATACCACCGAGTGTTGAGGGGAAGTAGTTGAAGAGTAGTATAAATTGATTACACATCACATATGGATTGGGCTGATAAGAAAAGGAAGAATAATATTATGGATTGGGCTTATAGGAAGAGAAACAATTAGTACGAAAAATTGATTACATATGGACTAGACTAATAAAAATAGTAGTCCTAATTTTTTTTTTTTTTAAAATTAAACCTAGGCTATAGCCTAGGTTAGCCAATTAAAAGCTCCCCAATTTGAACACTAAATTTAGTTTGCTCCTAGTTAGTCACTTTCTTGCTTGATTATATATATATATATATATATATCTGGAAAAAAAAAAAAAAAAATCAGATCTAAACTTAGAGACAAGTTCTGCGTTGGGGATTTTTTTTTTTTGTTTTTTTAAGGATAAATTGGTAATATTAAAAAAAATTGAAAATTGAAAATTGTGATGTATTACTTAAAAAGTATCCACTCTTCAATTGTCCCTGTAAGCGGTCACAGGGAGCAAACTAAATTTATTGCTACAGTATAATATCAATTAAATTAAATGCTGTCTGATAGGAGAAACCGGCTCAAATTGGTTTTTTTAAACAAAATTATGATTTTTAATTTTTTTATTGAAAAATATCTTTTGCACGTATATTAAAAACATTTGTAGGTACTACAATTTTTTATTTATTTAAAAATTAGGTCTTTTATGAAGCCAAAGAGTGTCACCAGTGAATAAATTAATAAGGTATTTTTGACACCCTAAGGCGTCATTAATAAAGAGGACCGTGAACCGAACTGATTAGCATTTATTACACAAAATAAAGTCATTTGGCTTTAAAACGTTTTCCATAACCAACATGCCATTTAAAAAAAAAAAAAAAAAGGAAAAAGAAAAACACTACTTATTTTCAGTATTGTTTTCTCCTTTTTTTCGGGATACATAAACATATATTTGCCAAATTTTATATAAAGAGGATCGTGGAACTGAACTGAATCATACCGGTCTTCATAGTTTAGTACGATTTGGTTCTATGGCCCAACAATTTCAGTTATGGTTTCAATTTATTAAGAACTGATGAGAAACGATTCAGTTCTTGTTTAGACAGAACTGCACTGATACCGATCATGTGCACCCTTAATATAATACACTTGTACATATAAAACTCTAGTATATGCTTTATTGTATATACAGGAACTTAGTCAAATAAATTAGAAAGGGTAAAATTGGCCTGCGAATGCTAATTCCATTTATATATGTAGGCACTTTTTCATGAGCCCGACAACACCTGTGATATCCCTAATTTCTGAATGCAGGTTGG